CTCAGGCAGGGAATCGATCTGTGTTCTTGATTTGAGCTCACCGAAATGGATTTCTCATTAAAAGATTGTGAATTTGAATTGATAGTACCTACAAATGAATGGAAATGGGGCAAGAATCATATAAATTCTTTTTTAACACTCTGTATATTGAGTCCCAACTCTTTTTATATCCTTTTTGTTTGTTCCATGATTGTACTCTTTTTGATTTTGTATATGTCTACAAAATCTTAATACCCATGAATTTCCATTACCACTTTTTAGCTTTCCTTGAATTCTCTCTAAGCTAAAGCCTTAAACTCTTCTTAGATTTGAAACTTATTTAAAAATGGAGGGTTGATATTCTGGAAAATATCATATGCTTGACTGACTGAGTGATGTAGAACGAACGATTTCGTCTATTGATTATATCATACAGTCAGTTGTAATGTTACTAGTTTCCTTCATCATTTGTAGACGATAAAATTGTGTATTAATATGTTGAGATTTGATTGTAGGAAATGTCTGCTGCTGTTATAGAGGGAAATGACGCTGTTACCGGTCACATCATTTCTACTACAATTGGAGGCAAAAACGGTGAACCTAAACAGGTTTGATTCCTTTGTCTGTTAAATCTTTATAAATGATCAAAGTAGTAGTTCTTATTGCTTCTGTTAAGGTTAACTCTAAGTAGTTCTGCTCGCTTATGTTTTCCTCATTCACAGACCATTAGTTACATGGCCGAACGGGTTGTTGGAACTGGATCATTCGGAATTGTATTCCAGGTACCTTTGTGCTTGTCACAACTAGAATTTGTAGGCAATAAATAACTTTTCACTTCCCTTTCTGATTAGATTTTTTTTTTTAACTTACCATTCTAGGCGAAGTGCTTGGAAACTGGAGAATCAGTAGCCATTAAGAAGGTTTTGCAAGATAGGCGCTACAAAAATCGCGAGTTGCAATTAATGCGACTAATGGACCACCCAAATGTGGTTTCCTTGAAGCATTGTTTCTTCTCTACAACAAGTAGAGATGAGCTTTTCCTCAATCTTGTTATGGAGTATGTACCCGAGACTTTGTACCGGGTTCTGAAGCATTATACTAGCTCAAACCAGAGGATGCCTATTTTCTATGTCAAACTTTACACATACCAAGTATGCATTTTTATCTGCTGTTTCCCCTTCAAATACTCTAGCTCTGTTGTGTTGATCCTGAAATGGTTTAGAAAATGTGTTGTGCAGATCTTCAGAGGTTTGGCTTATATCCATACTGCTCCTGGTGTCTGCCACAGAGATGTGAAACCACAAAATCTATTGGTACGCTGATCTTTTGAGGGTTTTTGTCTTCTGTAACCTTGACTAGATTGGAAACTGATTCTCTGGTGCAATCTGTAGGTTGATCCCCTCACCCATCAGTGTAAGCTGTGTGATTTTGGAAGTGCAAAAGTATTGGTAAGAGGTTTATCCTCTTATCTATTTATCCTGTTTTCTTTGTTTTTCGATTGTGCTTATGTTTTCTGTCTCATGATTAAATTCAATTAGATGCTTATCTGTTGTGGTGACATTTTTGCAAAATTTGACTATTCACATTAGGTGAAAGGTGAAGCAAACATATCCTATATCTGTTCTCGGTATTACCGAGCTCCAGAACTTATCTTTGGGGCGACAGAGTATACATCATCCATAGATATATGGTCTGCTGGTTGTGTTTTGGCAGAGCTCCTTCTTGGCCAGGTTAGTGTATACTGTTTCTCTTTTGATAACTAAGGCATCTGTACTAATTTCTGGCAATCATTGTGACATTATTTATCTTCAGCCATTATTTCCGGGAGAAAACTCCGTCGACCAGCTTGTGGAGATCATAAAGGTAAAAAAGATTTTACTTGAGCCTTATTTTTTACCTGGTATATGAAATTCCTATAATCCAATAGGTTTGTCACGATATATGTGTTGCGTTGGTTTAGGTTCTTGGTACTCCAACTCGAGAAGAAATCCGATGCATGAACCCAAATTACACAGACTTCAGATTTCCACAAATCAAAGCTCACCCTTGGCACAAGGTAATATATATACTATTGCTTAATTCGCTACCTAAGCGATATTCAAGAAATGAAAAGCCAAAACAATATGTTAACACAATAGACATACAGGTTTTCCATAAGCGAATGCCTCCGGAAGCCATTGACCTCGCATCTCGACTTCTTCAATATTCACCGAGTCTACGCTGCACTGCGGTCAGTATTTCTAAACCACCAAGTAATCTTAATTGTTATAGTGATTCTCTCTGGACCGCTTTATTTATTGACATATATGTTTGTTTCCGTGTCAAAAGCTCGAAGCATGTGCTCATCCATTTTTCAATGAACTCCGTGAGCCAAATGCTCGTCTCCCAAATGGCCGACCTCTACCACCGTTGTTCAATTTCAAACAAGAGGTACGTAAATCACAGCAAAAGAAGTTAGCTCCAAAAAATTCACTTTCCTTATTCCAACAATTACTAAATGTTAACTTCAAACAGTTGCTTAATCTGGTCTCTCTTTTTCTCTCTGTTTTTGAATGTTGTCCAAACAGTTATCTGGGGCTTCACCAGAGCTTATAAACAGGCTAATACCAGAGCACGTTAGACGACAGATGAATGGAGGCTTTCCATTTCAATCTGGTCCGTAGAAACGATTTCGGAACTGTAGATGCTTTTGCAGAGCAAAATGCCTGATGGAAAAAAGGGAAGATTTATTTCTTTCTGGTTTATTCCACAGGATCATGACCACCTATTTTCATCTTCTCAACTCTTAAGAAGAGATGATATCTCCTCCTTATACAGTTATATGTGGCCAATGCAGCTTTTTGAGTAATCAGGAGGTAATGATTGTGTCTATTACATTCTTTTTTTTTTTGTTTTGAGGTTCACTTTCACTTGTAGAGAGACTGTTTTCTCTCGCGTATCTGTATATGTTTTTGTCCGTTAAAAAAAAAAACATAAACGATTCCATGGATCCCTCATCCCTGCAAGACAGAATTGAGATATTGGAAATGGAATAATGATGTCTAAAGCTCAAGCTTATAACAGTTTTTAACTCAAAAGGTTGAACCTTTATATGTAAGTAAGAATGTAAAAATCGGCATGTTCAGATCAAGTTAAGGAAGCTGTTCAAGAACACAAGCAAATAGAGCAAATGGAGAAGAAAAGAATCTGAATTTTGTATAACAAACGAAAAGGACCCCTTTTATATCCATAGAGTTGAAGTTGGAAATGATCTAAGAATCGATTGTTCTGGCCTGAATATCAACCAGAACAAATGTAACATCGCTCTTGTGTCTATATGTTAACAGTTTATTGGTAAACTTTCAGTTCCCACGAAAACAATGGGAGAAGGACAAAATGAGCCTCCTGTGTCTTATTGATTCTTTAAAACAAAGAACAAAAATTATGTTTGGCTGAGATATGCAAATAATTTAAGATGACTTGCTGACTTCATGTATAGCATTTGCAAGGTATCCCACATTTCCTGTCGTAACACCAGCCATACTGCAACCAAACATCAAAGGGCCTCAATGATTTACCAACACTTGAAAATTAAGCATGTTGAGGGAATAGCCGTTAAGTACCTGATACGACCGTTACGGGTCATATAGATGTGATATTGGCTTGTTAAGCGGTCAACCTGTTCTGGTGTTAACCCACTGTAGCAGAACATTCCTATCTGTTTCCCCCATAAAGATATGATTAAGAAATTGTGTGAATCATAGGTGAGAAATGACAAGTTCATAACGTTTTGGTAAATTACCTGCTTGGTTACGTGCTCCCATGATAGAGGCGATCCTAACTTCTCAAGGCTTTCTCGCAAAGTTGTTCTCATGCCAATTATACGATCAGCCATGATCTGTTCCATTATAGATTTTACATAAAGCTAATCAGATTCTAATTTTATAGTTGAATTATCAAACACAAAAGACTGAACATGGGATACGATGTACAACAATATGGTGGAATAGTTGAATTACCTTAACCTCCTTTAGCCACAGACTCTTTAACTGTGGGTCTCCAAGAATGGTTGAGACTATTTGAGCACCATGCAAAGGTGGGTTGCTGTACATTGGTCTTGCGAGTTGCTGCAACTGACTTTTCACAGCCACCGCTTGCTTTTCATCTTCACAAAGCACACTGCAGCAGAAAACAAAGTAATCATGCTCACATTCTGTTCCAACTTCATACACTAAATTAACCTGTCTGGGTATGCCATGATATGCTTGAATATATGCATCGGCTATTTCATTCTCCTAAGTGTATGAAGAAAAATGGGGTTCAAAGAAATTCCTGAGAAAAATGAATACCTGAGACATCCGACCCTCTGGCCGTAGAGTCCCATGTTTTTCGCATAGGACTGAGAGATTCCAATATGATGACCATCCTCGAGAAAGATCCTGATGGACTTGGCATCTCTTGCTGGATCCCCACTAGCAAAACCTTGATAGGCCATATCGAAGAATGGAAAATGGTTCTTGGCCTGAAATGAGAACTTGCTGCTGTTAGTCTTGCGTCAGACAGATCAGGAAGAAGAAAAGTGAATGATAGACAAGTAAACTGTAAAATATCGATACCTTGAATAGCTGTGATATCTCTCTCCATTGTTCCTCTGTAGGGTCGACTCCAGTAGGATTATGAGCACAAGCATGAAGAAGGAAGAACGAACCTTCCGGAGCATTCTATGGGAGAAATCTTAGCAGAATTAGGATGTCATTAACAACAAAAATATATAAATATGCTTGTCAAAGAAGTTGTTCTTGCTAACCTTCACATCATCCATCAATCCTGAGAAATTCAAGCCCTTGGTTTCTGGATGGTAGTAATGATATGTCTTTTGAGGGACTTGTGCATCTCTCCAGATGTTGTGGTGGCTGTTTATAAAAGAAAACATAAGCTGTACTGTTTCGGGGAAGCAAAAGAAGCTTGGCCGCACTTACAAAAGTACGAGGTCGATGTTAAATTTGGAAATGATCAAAGTTAAGTGTATGAAACTCAACTCACTTGGACCAGGTTGGTACAGGAATGTAGATCTGTGAACCGGGACAAAAACGTTTCTGGAAGTCTGCAAACAGTCGGCAGGCTCCAGTTCCAGACAGAGCCTGAACTGCAGCTATTTTTTTATCTTTGATGAATTCAGAATCGTCCCCATAGGCAAGCTTCAATGTTTCCTCCACCATTTTGGCACTCCCTCCCATAGGAAGGTACTCCCTTTAATCGATTAATACAACAGAGACTCAGATCAGTATGGGAAATGAGATAATTGGTGATGTTGATCTTTCTTAATATATGAGGCATACAAATTAAGCATCACATCATTTTTAATACTACAAAACAAAAGGAGTTTGTACAGAATTAGAATTTGAGTACACTCTCCTAAAGATTTAACAAGCATGCAACATTCTGCAATATAAACCGCTGAACATATCACCACAAGCTAGTATCATGATCCGACTCAAATGTATTGTAAGGTGTAATTTTTTTCCAATCAGTTGAAACACAAAGCAAGCAAGCAGATAAGAAAAAAAAAAAGATTTGAGTGCTTCAGCTTGGCATGGACTTCAGCTTTGTGAATGATCCACTATATAAATAAGACAGATTAAGCTACAAAAAAAAAAACACCTAGAAAAAATCGTATTATGTGCAAGGATGGGTATCATTTCCACATTAAATGCAGTTTCTAAAATTTAAACGCAAACATAACCATAGTCAAAAGAGTGAACCCACCATGACAGTATATTATGAATAAAAGAGCACTTTAATTTGATTCGAAGAAGACAGAAAAGGAGAAAGGCAGCAATCTTACATGAAGGAGGTCCCAGCAATCCTTCGCTCAGCTTCTCTGACACATTCCAAGACAACAGGCTTGCCATTATCATCACGATATGCTCCCTAAATCAGTGCAAGTTTAAGACATAAAGATAGAGCTTCTTCATTAACCGAAACCAAAAGCGCATTCTGTTTAAAAACGTTCAGCTCAATTCAATGATTAAAAAACATTCTG